TGTGGCCGCCCTTATACCAGAACCGGTGTGTATTCTTTTTGTGCCAGGGAGTTTTGTTGCAAGAATTCTTTTTGCGGCTCCGGTGGTGAGCCTGTGTGTGTGCCATTGTCGTGCCAGTGTGCTGTGAGAGAGGCTTGTATCTTAAGAATTCTTTTTGCAAGGAGGCATGCCGGGGAAGGTAGGGTAGGTCTGGGCGCTTCCGTCGGGTTTTTTCCTCTCTTCACGCCGGAATTTTCACAGCAAAAAAGAAATTTTCGGCGAAAATCACGACGTCAACCCTCCCCAAGTGGGTGATCTGGGTGCTTGTAGGGCTTGATAGTGGCCTGCCATGTCACAGGAAGGACTGTGATTGCAGGAGAGTACCGCCAGCCATCACTGTAGTTGGTATAGTACCCCACCTTCACGAGGCCCGTGATTTCTTTTTTAGTTTCCCATAAGTAGGGTAGGTAGGTAGGTAGGTAGGTAGGGGCACCGCAGGGGCCGGTCAGGTTTTCCCAGAATTTCAGCATGCTGGCCGCATCAAGCAAAAAGAATACACACCTGCCAGAACAAGAATTTCGGACGTCAAATTTCACCACGGCGAGCCACAAAAAGAATTTTCGGGGAACCGTCCTCCCCCATCAGACATGCCGTCAGATAGCGACGTCACTAGCACACCCAGAGTCCCAGAAACCCCGAGGAATTGCATATTAGTGCCCCTATGTGTGCTGTGTGTGATGCACGCCCTGCGAGCGGGGCAGGACCGCGCTGTCCCTCGCTGTGTCATCCGTGCGTCGCCCATCTCTCCCTGGATATGCCTGCTCTACTTACTTATTTACGATGCTGTGGTTGATGAGTAGAGGCTGGCTGACAGCTGAGTAGCTCCTCCCAGTCAGTCCCCAAGCGAGCTTTCCTATGGCAAAGGCTGGAGCGAGCGAGATTTCCTAAGGCAGGCTGGCTGTGGCAAGGCAGGCTGGCTGTGGCATACAGCTGAGCCTCCCTCCCAAAGCGAGATTTCCTAAAAGCCTGGAGCGAGCGGCCGGCAACGCGGCAACGCAGGCTCACTTTTAAAATGCATGCGCCATGCCAGCAACCATCCAATAAAAAACAAATATTATTTCAGCCAACGACATCCACGACAAATGGTTGTTGGAAAGGTAAATGACTCGCCGGGATTCGATCACTCTCCGTCGTCCGTCGGCGCCGGTCCGCCGGAGCCAGGGTTTGCGTGCCACGCGGGCGACGACACGGGATGAAGACCGAGGGCCCAAAGACCGACGTGGCGGAGGCCCCCAAACGGGAGGAATCACGTGCGCATAGTAGCGCGTACCTCTCGCGGCATCCTCAGCCCCCGCAGAACATTGGGATTTCGCTCGCCCGCGCCATGTTTCGGGATCCGCCGCCCCCCCAAACCTACTTGGCGCCTGCTTAGATGGTGGCCTGGCGGCACTCTTCTACTTTGCGACGCCGCTCGACATCGTCCTAACCTTGAGCGGGTGCGTTGCCATGATTGGCGCCGGAGTGTGTCAGGTGCAAAGCGCCGTGCCGCTTCCCGTTGCCCATGCGGCGGCAGAATGAGCAGCCGCCCAATCCGCCTGCACAGATTCTCATGCTGGTTGTGATGAGTGACTTTTTCGACGCCGGCTGCGGCATCGACGGTCTGGGTAGCAAGGGCCTGGAGCTCTGGAAGCGCATGCTGCTGGTCGGCTTGGGCGTTGGCGGCTGTCAGGGCTTCTCGACTCTTTGCCTCGAGATGGCAAAGCACCGGCAGATTGCAAAGTGGAAGAAGGAGTACCTCAAGTCCATCCTGCGGCAGGATGTCGGCTGGTACGACGTGAACCGGCCGCAGGAGCTGTCGACGCGCATGGGAGACGCGATGGTGCAAATTGAGAAGGCACGCTTCCCCGCGAGCGGCCGATCTTGTGTCTTGAGGCCCAAACACTGCCCGCTTCCGCTTGCTGCGGCCACCGCCTGCGGCCGCGACCTCCGCGCCGCCAGACTCCACTTGCGCGAGGGTGGCTCCTGTCGTCCTGCCGGCTCACCAGCCAACCTCGCCGTCAAATGCTCTCCGCAGGCGCTGCAGGGCTCGAACGGCAACATCTTTACCAGGGGTACTCGCTCGAGATTGCGGCAGGCCAGGTGGTCGCGCTGTGCGGCCCGTCGGGCTCGGGCAAGAGCACCATCATCGGGCTGCTCCAGCGCTTCTACGACCCGCAGGCGGGCACTCTGATGCTGGACGGCGTCGACATCCGCACCCTCAACCTCCGCTGGCTGCGGCAGCAAATCGGTGTCGTCGGGCAGGAGCCGGTGCTCTTCGAGGGCACCGTCGCCGAAAACATTGGATACGGCAGGGAGGGCGCGACGGAGGGCGAGATCGAGGAGGCGGCACAGCAGGCAAACGCGCACGGCTTCATCATAAACGACCTCGGCGACGGGTACGCCACTCAGGTGGGCCTGCGCGGCGGACGGCTCTCGGGGGGCCAGAAGCAGAGGGTCGCGATCGCGCGCGCGCTCGTGCGCAAGCCCGCCATCATGCTGCTCGACGAGGCGACTAGCGCCCTCGACAACGAGAGCGAGAAGATCGTGCAGGCGAATTGGCGCGGCCCCTCCCCCCCGCGCGCGATCTCGCGCGATGTCCCGCAACCTCCTGCGACCGCAGGCGGCGCTCGACGAAATCATGTCGAAGATGAAGCGCACGACCATCACGATCGCCCACCGCCTCTCCACGATTCGCAGCGCCGACAAGATCGCGGTTATATCGGGCGGGCAGGTGGTCGAGCAAGGGTCGCACGACGAGCTCCTGCAAATCGGCCCCAAGGGCGTCTACTTCCAGCTTGTCGCGGCGCAGCAGTAAAAGCGCGGAGCTTCCGACCGGGACGCCACAGGGGGCGCCGCGGTCTCAACACTGGCTTCCAACATGTACATGTATGTAGTGGTGTACATTCCATTTAAGTTCTCTTAGGAACCGGTTTCAGTGTCCAGTCGCGAGGACTGCTCGTCTACGACCGAGAGGGGCACAGACCCCGAGGGACCGATCTGCGGCTTGTCCGGCGCGCGCGGCACACCGCCTGCAAAGCAGAGGGCAAGAGGCGCGACGCCGTTTTGGATGGCGGCGTGGGGGCTGTCTCTGGACTCTGTGCGCCTGCAGCAGATACGCAGGGGCACAGATATGCAGTGCTTGTAACAGCCGCCATTTGATTTTTTTTGCGAAAACCCATAATGGCCGACAACGCAGGACAACGCTTCTCTCGCCGACCTTGCCCGAGAGCGGCTTGCACGGCGCGGACCGCCGCCGCCGCCTGCCGCACGCTCTGTGGCGCTCCCTGCGGTGTCAGGCTGGAAGCTGCTCGCTGCGGTCCTTGTGGGCTGGGCTGCACTTGCCTGGACGCAGCGGTCAGCTTGCGGCTGCGGCGCCGAGCACAGCCCAGAACAGGCGCTTGCGGACGCGCTGAGCGGCCTTGGCCAGCTCCTGAGCGGCGCGAAAAGTGCCCGGTCCGTGCAGCAGTCCTTTGGCCAGAGCATGGAGCGGCTGCAGCAGAGCTGCGGCTCGCGGCTCAGCTCGGCTGTCTGCCACACCTCCTGCTGGATGGCGGGCAAGGAGCTGCAGCGGTCGATCTGGTGGTCGTGCTTCAGGCGCGGAGGCCACGGCCTGCCTGAGCAGCCGGGTGGCGGTGGGGCAGAGGGCCGCGGAGCGGGCGGGCCTACCTCATGGCCGGGGCTGGTGGGGGAGAAGGTCGGGCACGCCGTGCGCCGCATCTCGAGCGAGCGGCCGGACGTGTCCGTGCGCGTCATGCGGGAGGGCGACATGGCGACGATGGACTTTGATGAGGCACGCGTGCGGGTCTACGCAGACGAGTCGGATACCGTGACGCGTGCGCCCATCATAGGCTGAGACGCCCGACACGGCACAGGTTCGACGGGTCCATGTGAACGGAGCCGTCCTCGGGATCCGCGGGAACCCTGTCCTTTTTTGCTCAGCGCGCCGATGCTGTGGCGGTCGGTTTAACTATTTTGGTCGGGAAACCCGTCTTTTCCGCCACTGGCACTGCGCTCGTGCACTGCGCTCGTGGCGTCGTGGGACGTGAGAGAGAGATTTGTTTTGTTTTGGGACGTGTGGGGCCCGTGCCTCGTCTCGTCCGAGGAGCGAGGAGCGAGGAGCGAGGTGGTGGTCCGACGACCGGGGTTCGTCCGACGCCGCGAGCGCGACGCGGGCGGCCGCCGGTGAGCGCGGGGTCGATTTAGTTGTAGGTAGGTAGGTAGGTAGGTAGGTAGGTCGTTCCTACTACGGTTTGGAAAAGAATGTATCAGAAAAAGAAAGCCGAAAGCTGCGCATGCGCGAGCGAGTCGAGGCTAGTTGCCCCGCCAGCGACCCCGGACGTGCCCACGCCGCGATTTTCCACGAGTCGCAAGATTTTTCCTGGGAGGCTCTTCGCGACAGGGTAGAGGTTACGGTGCGGCGGCAGACTGAGGCAGTCAACACTGCGGCCGCACCACAAGGCGTCGGCGAGACAGAGACGCAGGCGAAGCGGTGGGAGAGCCACTTTGTGCGGCACGCGGAGGCGGCGACGCCCTTTTTCAAGGAGCGGCGAGGGCTCCTCCTCATGTTCCCACAGCTCCTCGGCGGCGGCGGCGGCGGCGGCTGCGGCGGCGGCGGCGGCGGCGGCGCGGCTCCAATGCGCGTGCTTGAGCTGGGGTGCGGCAACGGATCGAGCGTGCTGCCGCTGCTGCGCGGCAATCCGCTTGCTCGCGTCCACGCCACCGACCCGTCGCCCACCGCCGTGGCTGACACGGTCCGGAGGAGGAGGAGGAGGGCTCCCGGTGCGCGGAGCCGGGAATGCGACGTGCGTGTATGCTCTAGGTGCGTCGGGTGGAGGAGGCGGGCTTCTCCGACCGGCTCACGGCCGAGGTCCCGCCCGGCCTCACACGCCCGTGCTCGCCGGGGCACGGCCCGTTCGACGCCGTCATGGCCCTCTTCACGCTGTCGGCAGACAGCCCGCGGCGAGCGGCGCGAGAGCGCGGCGCGGTTGCGACGTGCGTGTCTCACGAGTGCGGATAGGCCATCCCGGGCGGAGACGACGCGGTGCTCCTCTCGGCCGCCGCGGGAGAGCTGCGGCCGGGCGGCGTGCTGCTGCTCCGGGATTGCGGCCTCTACGACATGCGCCACTTGCGAGACGCTGCGCGCGGCGAGCGCGACGCCACCCTGCTACCCACAAACAAGTCTAGCACTCACACATCGTGATCATCCTGCTACGCGCAACCCTTCATGCACGCACACCGCTGCCTACCTTTGCGCCTGCCCCGAGCAGGCGCCACGCCCGTCGACACGGCGGCCTTCCTGCGGCCGGGGGGGATGCACCGGCGGTACTACTCGCTCGCGGACGTGGACAGGCTGGCCGCGGCCGCGGGGCTCGAGGTGGTCGAGAGCCGGTACTTGTGCGTCCGCCTCACCAACCAGCGGCGCGGCGTGCACATGGACCGAGTGTACGTGCACGCGGTGTTGCGGCGGCCGGTGGGGCACAGCAGGCGCCTGCTCCACGCCAACTCTCGGCTGCGCATCTTCGACGAGCGGCTCGGTCCGGACTGCACCGCCAGCGTCCACCACGCGGTGCCGGCGGTGCGGTGGCAAGTCCTCGATGCGAGCCAGCCGACGCCGTCGCCCTTCTTCCACGCCGCGGGCTTCACGGCGACGGTGCGCAACGTCTCGCCGCACGAGCGGCGGGACATCTGCTTCGAAGTGCTCGGCGAGCCGCTGCACGGCGAGGAGGAGGTCGCGCGGCGGCTGGCCGCGCCGCGCTGGCCCACGGCGCCGGGCCAGCGTCTGCTGCTCGAGAACGCGCTCGTGCGCATGTGGGACTTCCGCGCCAGCCTCGGGATGGACCGACTCGCCTTCCACCAGCACGTGTTCGACAATGCGTGGGTGGTGCTCGGCGACGGCGCGGCGCTCCGCGGTTGGCCCGCCGGCGAGGCTCGTCCCGTCACAACGTCGTGGAGCGAGTAGGCGCGGCTCTCAACGTCTACACGCCGGTCGCCGGCGGCGGCGCCAAGCTCGAGAAGACGGTGCATTTTCACGACGGCTTCGTCTCGTGGACGGTCGTGCGGAACGGCGGATTCGACGCCGACGGAGAGCCGCTCGCGCCCACGTGCTTGCACAGCGTCGACAGCGCAGTTCCGTCCGTCGAGTTTCGCGAGTATTTGATAGAGCTGAAGTAGCAATCCGGAGCAGCAATCTCACGAGCGGAGCCACGCCTGCTCTGCATGAATCGCCGTTAGAATTACCCCGGTGCCGGCACCGGACGGTGCGGGTGGTGAATCGACGCACTCGCACAGGGTCCCGCTTCGATCCTGTGGCATAGAGCTTCCTCGGTGGCACGCGGAGCGTGCTTTATCATGTTCACGTTGGATCCGTTGTCGAGCTGGCACCTGAGCCTCGCTGGTTCGGTGGGCGCTCGCGGGGTGCCCCGTCTCGTGTGCGTTGCGCCGGTCTCGGCGGCGTTGACGGAGGCGGCGAGGGCGCCGGCGGCGAAGAATACACGGTGCTGCTGACGGATGACGGTGGTCGCGGCGAAGCCGGTGGCGGCTATTTTGTCGAGGGAGCAGAGGCTTGCGACGACAATGACGGCGAGGGCTGCCCGACCGAGGAAGCGGGCGCAGCGGCCGGCGTTGTGGTAGAGGGCTGGAGCTGCATCGACGGCGGTGATAACCAACACCCCTCTCTCCCGATGGCGGCGAGGCTGGCAGCGCTGCGTGCAGCGTCGCCGGCGGCTTCGACAGCGTGGCACGCGGCGGCGACAGAGTTGAGGTAAGCGCGGCCGAGGCGAGCACGGCCTGCACTGTCGGCGAGTTCAAGAGCACCGACGACGGCGACGGCGGCGCACGCGAACGCGGCTCCGCGGGCGGCGAGGGCGAGCAGGAGTAGGAACGCAGCGCCGGCGGCGTATGCGAGCGCACGCCCGTGGAGCCCGCGGATCTCGGCGCGGAGCTCGGTGATGGCAGCGGCCTGCTCGGTGGTGAGGGCATCGAGCTCGCCGAGCTCGCGGTTGGCTGCGGCGAGGCCTTCAAAGGCGCCATTCTTTGCGGCCTTGGCAGCGAGGGAGGCGGCGCGTGCGTCCTTCTCTGCAGCTAGGGCGGCGCTGGCAGCGGCGTTGGCGGCGTCGGCGGCGTCGGCGGCCTCGGCGCTGGTGTGCGCAATGTCGCCTCGCAGCGCGGCGAGCTGGCTGGTGTAGGCCTCGAGCCCGTCGTCGTGGGCGTTTGCAGCAGAGTCGCCGGCGGGGGTGGCCTCGGCGCTGGCGGTCTCGAGGGCGCCGATGCAGCCGTCGTCGCCGAAGACGGCGTCGTCGGGGACAGCGGCGCGGAGGTCGGGGAACCTGGTTTGTGGAGCTCCCGCACCTGTCTAGACAGTCCTGAGCTTGTCCAGACAGTGTCCAGACAGCGTCCAGACAGCGTCCAGACAGCGTCCAGACAGCGTCCAGACAGCGGCACATGGCTCCACTCTTCACAGTAAAGTCTCGCAGTCGTGGCCGGACGACCCCTGACAGCACCCCTGCCGAGGCCACTCCCCCCCCACCCACCCACCCACCCACCCACATGCCGCTTTCTTTACTTGCCATTGAGGGGGGGGGGGTGCGTCTAGACAGCAGAACTAAGAGCGAACTTGAGAACTTGAAGTTTGAACTTGTAGTTTGGTCTTGACAGCTGTCTAGACAGCTGTCTAGACAGGCCCTCTTCACAGAAGGGTCCCCACAAAGTGCCCGCGAAGAAGTCGGGCAGAGCGGCAACTGTGGCGGCAACTGTGGGGGGCAACGCCAACGTCGCAAAGGTGTTGAGGAAAGGGCAGAGCAAGCGTGGACACGCATTGGTCGGGTGCCTTGCTGCAGCCACGGCCCCGCGCCGCAGCCGATGAAGAAGCTGCGGGCCGGCAGTAGGCACATCGACCCGCCGCTGCGCATGTGGGCAAAGCGCGAGCCCAGCAGTTCAGTCAGGCACGCACGCTGCACCCACGACGGCGGCCTCGGGGCGCGCGCGACCGAACGCGCTTGCGGCGCCGCCACGCCGTCCTTTTGCATCGCCGCCGGACCGCCCTCCCTCCTCCGCGACAGCCGAAAACGCGGCGCTTCTCGCCGCCCAAGCAACAGCAGCAGCAGTGGCAGCGAATCTTCGCGTCGCTGGTGCACGCGGTGCGGACTCGCCGCAGTCTGGCGGGCGCTCGCCTCGCCCGGACCAGGCGTCCGAGCAGGCTGTGACCGCGGCCGAGGCGGATGATCGGGATGGGCGGGTGCCGGGGGAGGCGGCGGAGGCGGAGGCGGAGGTGTCTGAGGGGTCGACCATCGATTCGGACACCGACTACAGCGACCTCCGACTCGGCGAAGGCGCGTGCTGCGGCTACGGTGGAGGCGGAGCCGGAGGCGGCGGAGCCAGACAGCGTCCAGACAGCGTCCAGACAGCGTCCAGACAGCGTCCAGACAGTGTCCAGACAGCGTCCAGACAGCAAAATCGGAGCGTCTAGACAGCTATTCAGACAGTAATAGCACTTGAGTGTACACAGCTGATTGAAGTAAAGGGGAATGATGCAGCTGCCTGCCAGAGCAGAAAGATTCCCTAATTCTCTCCACTACAAAAAAAGTCCAGTGCGGAACCGAGATCATGGCCCCGAATGCCGTGCTCTCTAGGAAAGGTGCGGGAGCTCCACAAACCAGGTTGGGGGCGGGCGCCTCGGCGGCGTTGGCCTCTCCCTTGCCGATTTCCTCCTCGCCGTTGTACTGCTTGTTGGCGATGATGAGGACCTTGCGAGCTGCCCTACCGAGCGGCTTGTCGCCCGGGCCGTCGACCTTGGCGGGGACGGGGCCGCTGCGGCAGACGACGCATGTGCCACGGCGGAGGCCGCCTGGGCACACCTTCTCGGCAAGGCGGCGGTCGATCTTGCCGGCTTGGAGGGCGGCGGCGCACTTGTTGCACTTGGTCTCGCGCGGCGGGGCGCGCTCGTCGCGTGCGCGTGCGGCGGCTGCTGCGGCCTCGGCTGCGCGGGCGGCGTCAGCAGCGGCGGCGTGCTTATATCCCCTCGTCCGACGCGAGAGTTTTGTGCGAGGCGTGAACCGCGCCATTCGCTCTCACCTGGCAACCCTGTCTGCACGTCTCGCGCGCGCGTGAACAGGGCTCCAGGCCCCAAATGACGTGTGTGTGTGTGTGTGTGTGTGTGTGTGAGTGTTAGAGAGTTTTTGTAATTTGAGTTTTTGCTCACGAGGCGTTTTGACTTTTGTGCTGTCCGGAGATGCTAAAATCTCTCTCGAGACGACGCGTGCGGCTCTCACACCCTCACTGTCGTCGCATGCCACGTTCTTGTTTCTTATCACCCTACTGTGAACAGCTGAACTCGCTGCAGCATCTCTCGGCTCGGCCTGCCAGCCGTCGAGTGCTTCGCCGCAGACAAACGTCCCCTGGCTGGCCATCCGGCACGGGACGAACCTGCTGCCGAAGGAGAGAGGCGCAAACAGCCACATCTCTGATCATGCTCTCGCCGCTGCATCTCGCGCCGCTCTATGCCTTCGGGCTTCCACGCGTCCGCACGGCGCAGGGCTGGGTGGTCGGCTCACGCGCTGCCGATGGCGTCGAGCGCTTTGCGGGCATTCCCTTTGCCGAGCAGCCGGTGGGAAAGCTCCGCTTTGCCCGAGCCAGCCTCTCCGAGGTCCCGTTCCCGGGCGGCGTGCACGACGGCCGGCTGCCTGGCCCGCCCTGCATTCAGAACCCCGCGGGTCCCATCCGTGCTCCGGGAAGTGAGGAGCCGCCTCAGTCGGAAGCGTGCCTCCACCTCACGCTGTGGCGGCCCGCCGCCAGCCAGGAGCCGGCTGCTCCCCTCCCGGTGATGGTCTACATCTTTGGTGGCGGCCTCTGCGGCGGCAGCGCCAACGTAGTCTCTCTCAACGCCTCGCGCCTCGTCGTGAGGCAGCAAGTGATCGTCGTCAGCGTCTCGTACCGGCTGGGCGCGCTCGGCTTCTGCCCGCTCCCAGA